AACAGTTTCGGGTTTTCCAGGTTTTTATCGGTTTTCGGGTTACACTAAAACCGAAACAGCTACTTATTGCTTCGGTTTGAAATCGAAAACCCGAAATCCGCCTTCTGTGTTTTCGGTTCGGGTTTGGTTTAACCCGAAAACCCGAAACCGATTGGACATGCCTAGTTATGACCCATGATTTTGGGCCTATTGGGTTCCGGCCAATTGTTTTGGGCCTTGAGTTTAGAACTCCAATACTCTACTGTTTTGTTGTATGTTTTTTTTTTCTATTGGGCCTGGACCATTGCCATATTAATGAACTGACTTTTAAAAAAAAATAAAGATCAACTTCCATCAGTCATGCAGAACTGCAAATCAACTTCCTTCATTCATGCAGCACTACAAAAACTTTCAAACAAGCAAAACTTTTAGCTGCCAAGATACTTTATTTTAGTAAGTAAATGCTAAAGCAAATCAATCCATAGCTAGGAACATTTCATATAATAAGTCATAATCAGAAACTACTCTAAATGACACCAGTTATACTATATTCAAATTCTATTTTGCAATCCATCAATAACTACACATAAGAGAAATAAAACAACCACACCGCACCTGAGTACTGCTCTTTCTTTGGTGATAGTCGAAGGAGCTAGCCCATTGTTTTTTGGGAATCCATTGAGGGGGGTTGTTGGATTTTTTAGATAATGGTGATTAATATGCATTAAAGAAAAAATTGTCCAAGGAGAAGGTAGTTCATAAGGGCTGAACTATTCATCTCCACAAGCTGCAGAAGGAAGGAAAAAACAAAGCAAAGGAAAAAAGAAAAAAGTAGCGCACGACAGCATAGACGTGCAGTAAAACAAAGCCACAAACAAAAACAAAGGAGCAAAAAACCCAACAAGTGAACCAGACCACTTACGAGGGAAACACGTCAATAGAAAAGAATGTCGGGAAATACAACAACGCCGGACAAAAAGAGACAAAGCAGCAGAAACATCACCAAAGTAGCAAAGATCGGCCCAGAGACAAAACAGTAAAACATTCGGTGGTCTCTCAAAACAAAGCTGAGCAGCAAAATCATCATCCCATGGCATGGCGGAAGCAAATGGCAGAACAACAAGGAACGGCGCAGTCGGCAAAGAGTGGCAAAGCAGCTAAACTCTCGGCAGCCTTTCTTCAATCCATTGAGAACCTAGTCTCCTATCAAGCTTTCCCCGGGCAATTGGCCATTCCAAAGCGTCTCTGATGGCTTTGCGAGAGACAGTCCTGGGCTGCGTACCATTGTCATTGAAATTCCTATTGTTTCTCTCAAGCCAAATCTGCCAGCAAACCGAGTGGAGAGCTCCAAAGCGAATCTATGCATCAGTATCAGTACTTCCTGGTATAGAAGTAGGCCACCTGCGAATGGCGTCGAGGACATCGTCGTGAGGAAAGTCCAGAACGCTGCAGGCCCTCTTTGATCGTTGCCACACATATTTGTTGTACTCACATTGTTTCAGTGTAAAAACAGTTTCATGGTGCCTACTTTGGAGATTCATATCTTACAATTGGCTCGATAGAAATTGGAGATTAGTGGCTTGTTTTGAAGATTGAGTATCCGTCTACACATTGAAGTGCTTGGGAGCTCGATAGGAAGTCCAAAAAACCATTTTTGAACCTGATCAAAAGGATATGCGAAAACTGGGAAACTGCCTGAAAATGGCTAAGTCTGGGAAAGTGTTTGTGAAGCCTACTTTGGAGCTCAATTCGAGAAGCATGGATGAGATTCGAGTCCGGGGGCCTCTACCACATGAAAGTAGGTATGTTTGTCTACAAATTCAAGGCATTGGATGAAATATTGGATATCTGGAAGGCTTCAAACAAAAAGCTCGAAGTTGCTACGAAGTAAGCTTCCTTCTAGCACAAGACTGAAACGACAGATTAGGTCGACATAATCCTATATAAGGTCGACCTAAAAGTGCAATTTACGGTGACATGCATGTCCCCGTAACAAATTCCACAACATTGGCGTTTATATATTAATTAATTAATGTCATTCTACCGTTTATCCTATCTTTGAACTCTAGTAAAGGAGAGTTGGAGTTCCTCGCTTATTAGGATGCAGAGGCTTGTGGAGTGTTTCAGAGGGGGGGAGGAGCTGGCAGGGAGTGATAACGAACAGGAGATGAATGTTGGATGGAAAAAACTTTCGAAGCTAAATGTCCAGGGAAAATCAAGGTTTTCTTGTGTAAGGTGGCCCATAATATTGTCCAGTTGGTGTTAAGATTAGGAAAAAAAGAATCAGAAGAGGGGATGAATGCCCAAACTGTAGAATGAAGGAAGCGTTAAAACACTGTCTTGTGAACTGCAGCTGGGTGAGGAGAATCTGGCCAAAAACTCCTGTTGCAAACCTGTTTTATATGGCTGATTCCTTCCCCTGCAAAGAATGGATTTTCAAGGTGATTAAGGAAGCGAAAGAAGGGGAGATTGAAAGATTTTGCTCTCTGTTATGGTTCTTCTGGAAAGAGAGAAACAACTGCTTGTTTAATAGCAAAATGCTACAAGAATGGGAAGTGTTTACAAAGGCTGATGATTTTATACAAGACTATATTGCTGTTCAGGGAAAAGAAAATAACAGAAGGGGAGGAACTGACAGAAGGAATTGCAGGTGGGAGAAGCCACCGGAAGGAACCTACAAACTAAATACTGACGCAGGTTGCAGTGGTAAAGGAGAGGTGGGAATGGGATTCATAATTAGAGACTGGAATGGTAAGGTGATGCTGGCTGGGAGCAGAACACTCAAAGCAAGCTGGTCTCCTGAGATTGCGAAAGGAATGGCGATGCAGTATGGATTAAAGGAAGCTAGAGAAAAAGGGTTAAGGGTCATTCAGGTCGAGTCAGATTGCCAGAGGCTGATCAAATTTCTGAAAGGGAAAGAGAACAGCAGAACTGAGATTGATAGTGTCTGCAGAAGCTTAGTTTCGATTGGCTTGGATGTTGATGTTGTTAAGTGGAGGTTTGTTTATAGGGAAGCAAATGGGGCTGCCCATCTGTTAGCACATTTCTTTCCTTTTAACGTCATTAGAGACAGAGTATGGCAGGGTAGTGTTCTGGCCAAATTGCTGATGTTATTGCCGCTGAGGCTGATGTGTGATTTCAATGAAATCTATTTATTCCTAAAAAAAAAGTACTAGTCCATCTTTCTATAGTAATTTGATTGAGTTGCAATGGATAGCCTACTCGACCTCGTGACGTGAACGTCATTCACATTCCCGATCATAATCGTTTAAAATAGACTAGTTTTTTGGCCCGCGCTTTGCTGCGGTTATAAGCTAATTATTTCTTTTCGTAATATAATTTAAAATTTAATAAAAACGACTATCTCGAAAGCAGCAAGCAAACATGACCACTTACAATAGTAAAAATGTACAAATGGTCATGCATTACAATGATGTGATCACGAATAACATTTCACCACATACACCCCATAGAAAAAGATTACATATATTCTCTACCTCGCGCAATACCTTCATTGACAGGAGAAAAATAGACATCCAGTACTGAAGTGTACTGGTTACGTTACAACTGAGGAGTTTAATTGAAGTCTTCCTACATAACTAAGTAAGTGGGCATTCCAACTACTAATTTTTGCAGCGATCCTTTTCACCAACAGCTGGCATTCAGTAGAAGAACTCAATTTATCAGTAATAAGGGGAACCCGAAGATACCAGACTGGGAGAATACCTAAAGGAAACCCTGTTGTATGAGAGTAAAGAATTTTTTCCTCCTCCGAGACACCAACACAAAATAAATTACACTTTGACATATTACATTGTAACTGAGCACTATAGAACTGGTCCAGCAACCTTCGGATCCCAGCAACAGCCCTCACAGATCCATTAGCAAACACTAAGAGATCGTCCGCACAACATGAATGAGTAATAAAGTTACCTTACTTGTGTAACATATTTGTTCAAGCGTTACGTATGTAAGAAATAACTATCATCCAGTAACCTTATTAACTAAAATATCCACCATGTCATCACTTTGTATTACGAAAAGGTTCCATAATGTTAGTTAAATTTTATAGTTTAGTTTTGTCTAATAATAAAATCAAATTTAGAAAGTAATATATGATTAAACTATTATGCCAAACAAAGCTAGTGTAACGTGTGTTTACTTTATGTATAGAATGGCATTACCAAAGTCATTACGAAAATGTTCCATAATGTTATTTAACTTTTATAGTTTAGTGTGGTCTAATAATAAAATCAAATTTAGAAAGTAACATTTGAGTAACCTTTACGTGACGAATTTATTAATTGTGTTAAAGAATAATCTATAACATTATGTAACACATTATTTAATAAGACATGTAAAACCAACTTAAATAAAAATGTCGCATAGGATTTAATAATACATTTAAACCCAACTTAAATAAAAATGGCCGCACGGGAACAAACCTACAGTGAACAGTAAATTCCCCCATATTAATTAGCACGGTCCCATGGTGATTAGTGATAATTTCGTATGGAACAGTAGCGCATACTTGCGCCATTAATTAATTAATTAATTAATAATTAATTTCCATGTTCTCTGGATCGTCTATCTGACTATATCTCCATAGTTGCATATAAAAGAAAAGAAACTGTAAACAGATCGTTCAGTTCAGTCACAAAAATCCCCTCATTATTCTGCACTTCCGCTTCTTTTTTTATTTCTCGTAAACCAATTCCTTGTGCTTGGTTGCAGATCGGGATACAAGCCGATTGTTCTTTAAGAAAAGAAAAACAGAGACGAAAACAACAAGAAGAAGAAGAAGAAGTTGTAATACTGGGGCGGGGGGACATTATTCTGTGGACGGCCACCGATCGGGTTCGTGCCATCTTCTCCCACACTTCATCTGCAAACCAAAGCTAATGATCAGTAAGTAATCAAGTCAAAACCACGTTTCATTAGTAAAAATCAGTGAACCATGGACTGGTCCTCCAGCTAATTAGGCGGAACATTGGTTTTACAATGTAGCTTGTACCACTTAATTAGACGGTGGAGCAGCCAACGGGAGGAAGGTTGCAGAGGGAAGGAAGGCGAGCAGTGATCTGGACGGTGCTGCAGAGGCAATCATGCTGGACGGACTGGAGCGCCGAGCAGCACTCGGAGCTGGGAGCGGCGGCGCCGGGCATGACGAACGGCGCGCAGACGTTGAGGTTGCTGAGCTGGACTGGACATGCCTGCGCCTGAGCCACCGTCACCTGGGTCTCAACCACCGCAAGAACTAAGACGATCGCCAGGAGTAGTGCTGTGGCTGCATTGCAGTGCTTGAGCGACGCCATAGGGGAAAAAGCAGAGCAACTCTGTTTTTTCTTATGTCAACTTTTACCCTTTTACTCTGTTTCGTTGGGATGGTTTGGTTACCTGTATGATCTCAAGGGTTTGAAACTGTGTGTCAATTTATAGCTGTTCTGGGGAATCATGTGAAGCTGGGACTTGCATGATCTACCTAATTGTTGGATCGTAGTTAGTTTCAGGGATCATCTGAAATTTGCTGGTGGAACCGAATTCCATAGCTCATCACTTTCACATGCTACCCCTCACTAAGCAATGTTTTGAATCAACCCAGCATTCTGATTTCTAATTTGACTCGGCTCGCCTGGTATATGGCCCAGTGGCGGAGGTAGCCCTTTGTCACGTGATAGAGGTAAATTTCAATGGAACAAAAATACGCCATATATATTTATATTGGTGATGGAATATAACGCCTATAGGTAGTGTTAGAGTACTTTGTTACTACAACACAACTCATTACTTATCCAAAATTTACATAAAATTAATTTATTATACTATAAATAAAATTCTAATTACAATAAAGACCTAATCGGGTCTCTTTTCTCCTTATGCCTAATCGATCTTTTCCCCAACAACCCTGAAATTGTATAGCGACAACGGCAATCCCACTAGTTTTGATCTACCAATTACAACTGCAAGTGTACAAAGAGCTTTTCAGCTCTGAGTTATATTAAGAACAAGTTTCCAAGTCGATTTGGCGACCAGTTTGCTAATACTTATTTAGTAAGATACATTGAAAGAGACTTATATAATAGTGTAGACAACGAATGTTTTTGCGTTTCTTTCACTATATGAAATTCCTTAGTAGTTGTTTCTGAAAAGTATGATTGTATAATCGGTTATTTTTAATTTATGAATGAATTATTCGGATATAATTATTATTAATTATTTTTTTTAAACAATTCTTTTATTAGATATTTATATATTTAAATTATGAAAAAAGGACAGGGGTGGTTTGAAATGTTGCCTCTGCCACTGTATATGGCCCATAACAAATCAATTTCGTAACTATCTTGCTCGATTCATATCCCATGTGTTTTGTGCCACTATTACGTGGTTTCGTTAGTTCAACACTAGAATTATTCACGATAATCGTGTCATCAATATAGACGAGAATTGTAAAAAAATACACATTTCGAAACCAAATATAGAAATAATCATATGCTAATGCTCTATGTATAACAATCTATCATGATTGGGGACCCATCACGGTTGAACATACGAACCAAGAAATTGACGTTTCAACAAAGCTACAACAACTATGCCTTATAAACGTAGAAAATTACAAAGAGTTGTTAACATTGATCTGGAGTTCCTTTTCCCATTTCAACATGTGAGAAAATCAAGCTATAGAGGGAAGGATATTGGGCCTTCTTTTTACCCCACCTTAACTGGAAGCTTGGAAAGAATAGCAATAATTTAACATTTGGAGTAAAAAAAAACCAAAACCACAACCACAACAGAAAAGGGTAAAAATAATTTCTAACCACAGTTATAATTAACTACTAGCTGAGCTGAGAACCAGCAGGAGCAGTCCAGTAAGACTTAACTGCAAAAAGAAGCTTCTCCCTCTCATAAGGCCCATCTTCATGGTCCACAATTTTACTCTCCCATTTTAACCCATCAGTAATTTTCTTCATCTTCACCAGCATATCCACATCGTCCCTCAAAATTACACCCCCTTCTGGCCTCAGAACCCTATCCATCTCCAACAATATGTCCTCCATTTCACATCTGCAAAAATAAAATATAATAATAAATTAAAACATCATCATCACTATCAAGAATTCGTTGATCAATAACTAGAGTTGTTATAATAGGTCAATTATAGATCATATACCAATTATTAACATGCCCCTCAAACGAAGTCACTAATATAGGGATAAAGTTTGCACAAACATCAGACACCATGTGCTTACTCACAAATGGGGGTTACTGGGATTCAAATAGAAGGCCTCTCGGTCATAGAAGATTCTAATACCATGTCAATTACTAGTTCATTTCAATGACTCGATATTTTTAAAAAATTCGATTATAAATCATATACCACTTACTACCTAACAATTCAAACGGTCACATAAATTTCCACAATATAAACAAATTCCCAAACCAGATATTATAAGGTAACTTGATAGTTACCCAATTAATTAATGAATTACATGGATCCCAACTTATAATTAACTTCCCTTGTCCCCTGGAGTAACCCCACGTTATCTAACCATGTGTTTGGTAACTTCCGAGTCTTGAATCTCAATAATTCCCACATCAAAATACTAAAATTCACATAATTCCATGTATGTATAATAAAATAAAATATTAAGAAAAAAACGTTTCGATCTACCTGCCATCGTAGAGGGTAAACAGCCTGTCTGCATGGAGGAGATCGTAAGTCCTCGGGTAAGTCGACATTGCTTCACACCTGTCAATCCAATTTTTCAAATCAATTGTTTTTTCTTCAATTTAGATAATTAATTAATTAAAACTTTCAGATTTGATTTACTTAACCACCACTTACCAGTTCTGATACGTCCCGATGAGCCCACGCTCGTAAACCGCTCCCAGCGTGTTGGTCGAGTGGACCGGGACCACGTTCATGACCCAAACCGGGTCCTTAACCATCGCGGCCGCGAACCCACCCAACCCGGCGTTCATGTCCAGAAGGTTCCTGTACCTTCCGGCGTGGTCCAGCTGGTTATTCACTGTTTTGTAGTACGCCACCCTCTTCTTCCACAGCTGTGTGTCCTTCTGGAAGCTCTCCGCCGTCACGCCTTTTATCGCCCCTCTACTAATCCTCGGAGGAACCGAGGTCAGTCTCTGCGGCCATTTCGCAAGCTTCCCGCCGGCGACCTGTTCCTCCTCCGACACCTCCGGCAGATTCGTTACGCAGGTCTCCAGTTTCGTGTACCAGGCCTTGTCGGCGTCCTGGGCAGCCGGGCAGAAGTTGCCGCGGCTGGATTTGCTGCAGCCGAGGTGGTTGAGCGGTTTCTGCCAGATGGCGATGTCGCCTTTCTCCACGTACTTCTTCCAGCACAGACTTTTGGCGACGGCTTCGATTTTGTCCTGTTCGGATTTCAAGTCCTCCTGTGACCTCTCCCAGCCTTTCCAGTATTTCTTCCAGCGGATTGGTGGGCCGGACAGGATCCAGTAGCCTCCGGGCCGTAGGATCCGGTCCACTTCCATCAGATACTGCCCTTCTGCTCATTGGCGATAATAATTAAATATTAATAATTAAGACCGGTGAACTGGATTTAATTAGTTAATAATTAATTACGATGATTTACCGGATTCGGCCCAAGGGATAAGGCAGCGAGAGCAGTGGGCCATATCGAAGGCCCGGGAAGGGTAAGGAAGCCGCTTGGAGGCGAGGACGCCGATCATGGCGGGAACTCCACGTTCCAGCGCGAACTGGACCTGTGCTTCGTGGGTGTCCCGCGGGGCAAACGACATCGTTAAGATGTTGCGGGATAGAAGATACGCTCCCCAGCTTGCCACCTTAATTAATCCAACACAGAAACAAGATTAATAAAGGGGGATAGTTAGACTAATCAGGACAGAAACGCAGCATTAATGACGATTGAAGAGGCTACACGTGTCTCGAGAAGGATCGAAGTGAAATCCACGTCATGTTACTCCTTTCTTTACTCTGCTCGAGGAGGAGGATGCAATATTATGAATTAGTTAATTAAGTCATAGATGACATTTCTTTTTGCCATAGAGTCCTGACTGAGATTGGATCCGGCGCATTAAATTAATTAACATGTATCTTTTTTTTATAATTCATGAAATGAAGAGCTCTTTGGATGAGAGAATTAAAATTGTGAAATTGGAGTTTAAATTATTACAAACATGAGATGTTAGCACAAATGATAGAGGAAGTGTGGATATTCCAACTCTTACAGATTTGACATTTAAAATTTGTTAGATACCAATGGTCATATTATACTTGGACAAGCTAAATATGATAAATAATATACGGGTTTTTATAAAAATTCCACGTCCAAATGCACTCATAATCTTGAATCTGATAATAATCCTTCAAGGAATGTTATTTAATAATTACAAATGTTATCAAAGAATAAAAAATCGGTAACTCCATTTCCATTAGTGCTCCGATCCCATTTCCATAATTGCTCCCCCTCTTTTGATACGATTCCCCACAATTATCACCTCCCCAGTTTAGAACCTAATCCTTAGCAACTACTCACCAAACATACCTAAAATTCTCCTAAATAATTAATCCGCCTTTTGTAAAAAGCATCCTAATTTTGATAATATATTGAAATTGCAAAAAAAGAAAAAAATCAAAAGCGGAAAAATTATAAATTTCTAACCCCTCAAAAAGGAAATAAAGATGAAAGCCAAAAAGAAGAGAAAACCAACGCAGCATTCTTTATCGCTATTAGGTCTCTCACTAATCTATGTCATTAAGGCATTAACACTTCCTTTCCAGCAATGTCCTAATCCCTAATCCCTATAACCAGTGCACCTATACAATAATTAATAACAAAAACTATTCTCTTAACCAGAAATCTGTCTGATGTAAACGATATGCATTTGCAAATTCAACAATAGCTGTTTTTATTTCCCCTGTTTTGATTTACTCGTATACACCATAGGCTAATGTTTTGAAATTGTGCCTGAAATTTTAGATATTGAAACATAAATGGTTAAATGTACGTATATCATAATTTTTCAAGATTAATTCAACTTATGTAATTTATTTTACTCACCCCACAGCCGGTATCGACGGCGGTCCTAATGGACCCGTCCTTGAGATTGATCAATTTCCCGACGTCATCAATATACTTGTCCGCGCCGTCGGGAAACATGGTCCCGCCGCCGGGGAACCTGAACCGGTCGCCCTCGTAGCTAATCCAATTCTGCACCGCCTTCTCCACCGTGAGGTGCTTGTGCGGCACGTTAGCGAACCACGCGTAATCCCTGCTCGCCGGCCACGTGAACGGGTTCCTGTAACCGAACGGCGCCG